ACTTTATAACTACAAAATATAAATTATGATATATACTATACAAACCATGAAGAGCAGGGAATCCAAGCGATAAAAAATATTTTTCAACTAATGCCTTTGTATTTGCATCAAGACTTTCAACAGAAATACCTTTGGATGGTTTTAAATTGGTATCAAAATATCCATTAAATTTCTGAATTAGTGGCATCCATTTTTCCATCAATAATTTTTCTAGCTCATTATCAGTCTGTTAAAGTAATTTAAAATTAAAAAAAAATAATCAAAAACTCAATATAAAAAAAAGAACATTACGTCAGAAATGAAGAAGACTGTGTCAGTTTCTAGGTATGACAATATTTGTTGTACCACTTCGTGTTCAGAAAGATCACTAGGGTTGTCAACTGCCAAAAAACATAACTTTGTCTAAAATGAAAATAAATATCATTATATAACATATATTAAGTATTATATTTAAAAATTTAATATTATACCAAATGCATAGGATCTGTTTTTATATGTTCTTTTTGCATATCCCATTCTTCGGCAACAGCAAGAGCCAAAGCTTTATTATTTATTATAAGTTCTTTACCTAATGGTGTTTTTAATTTGCTATTATCAAGTAATACTCCATATGAATCATTATTTTCAATAATAGAAGTGGTTTTATAAAATTTATCTGAAAATTAAAAAAAAAAAAAATTAATGTTAATTTGTATTATTGTTATTAAGTAAAAATTTAACCGAGTATTATCTAACTTAATTTTATTTTTTTTAAGAATTGGAAATAATAACATAATAAGGTACTTATAAAAAAAAATATAACTTGTGTTGTATGTCATCTACATTAACTTTGATCATGTTGTATGTTATCTACCTATATTTCGGGTGATATCTGTAATATCTACGTTGTACAAGGTCAATGAGTGTTCGGACTGTACTGTAAACGAAATGATGGTATTACTAACCATAGATTATTGATAGTTGAAAAGAGAGATAAAGCTATATTACTTCCTATTTTTAAACAAAAAAGTAGAAGTTAGGTTCACAATTCACTTGGACAAATGAATGGCTTATAGGCTATAGCAACATAAGCCATGGTCACTTATATTGCTATAAAATGTATGTACATAAAATTGTAAATCACCAGCTTCACTTCATTGATTTGAAAACAGGGGCAAATATTCAATCTATAGAATTTACATGGAGATGCGTCAAAGTCAAATATGATATAAAAAACTGTGGTGCCACCAATTTATTTGAATGGCAGTTGATAGAAGAGTGGTGGCACTTACTCAATGTATCCAAGAACCTTTTCAAACAATGATTTGAAGACATGAAAAAAAAAAAATGTAGATAACATACAACATAAATTCCAAAAAAACATAATAATCTTGATTAACCGTTAGGTACTTAGATTAATATTAAAAAATAATAACAACTCAGATATTAGTTCTTAAGATATTCAATATTAATTCTAATACAAAATATTTATCAGAGTCAACATATTACGGATTTATGTTAGAAATGATACCTCCTAATAAACCAATTAGTAATGTAAGTTTTAACTAGATATGAGTAGAGCAAGTAGTCGAGTGAGAATCCAGAATGTACAAGATGAAATATAATGTGTATATTAGTCTTTCAAAACATACATTTAGAAATATGTATAAAATAAAAATAAATTAGAAGAAAAATAAAGTTGTTATTCATTTTTTTCTTATTACATTGGTAGCATTTCTGAATATGAAAAATATAACTTATAAATTATAAATTGAGTTAAATAAAACCAGATAATTATTTTTTACAATACATGTATCATATTGAAATATTTATTGTTAAATGGCAAGAAATATTAATATAATAATTAATAAGAAGTATATGTTAAATGTTTTTATAAAATCATAAATGGATTTGTAAAAAAAAATGAAACTCATTTAAATATATATATTTATATAATATATACATATGTATTATAATATTATTAAAATGTTCATTTGTTAAAATAAATAAAAACAACTGTTATTAATATATAGATTAATCTTAAAATTAATTTAAATATCATTTAAACCAATCAACATTTAATACAAAAATAGTAAGAGCTTGGTCCAAAAATTAACAAATGAAGTAGCAATCATCCACTATAAAAGATAATTAAAAATTGTATGCAATTTAGTTTATTTGGCTATATGGTAACAGTAGTTAAATATAACTTGCCCAGAGAGATCATGCCTTACAAAAACAAAAACTAGTCATCTCAGCGTTACCCCATTAAATTCTTGTGAAATTTGGATGCATGAAGGGGATACAACGGCCTAGAAAGTCGGACATATTTTATTTTACATGTGCAAATCCGGCATGATCTCTTGTAGGACAAACTATAGTTGATTAGTTTTATATTTATTTCCTGTTATACAGATATGAAATCGAAATATAAATACCAGCTATCTAATAAAACAGAAATTAAAACAATATAATAAAATATTAAATTATTTAACTTACTGATAGCATAAGACCTGCGTGCAGGTGATGAAATTTTTGTGAAATTATGTAATTTAAATTTTGTCTGGATTTGGTTTCTTGTTATGAATTTTAAACAATGTACGATTTGGAACATTTCTGTTTAAATTCTGAAAAATAATGTATAAATTAAAAAATTCAATAAAAAATGTTACCAAGTACAGAAAATTACGAATTTTATCTAGACAGTTTGTGTTTGTGATAACTACTTATTGATAAGTGATAACATTTGTCAACCGAGATCAATACAATAATCATAGACCTTATAATGACTTTATGTCTATGATTAAAACATTCTTAATCCACGTCCAGTATCCAAATTCTATGTCGTGTTAAAGATCCTCTACTTTGAATTGACCATAGATAAGCTTGCCATTCGTCCCGGTTTTAACACCATGTCCCGACCTGTCATTAATTTTGTACCGGTTAAAGGAAGCCGAGAGAAAATAACTTTAATATTGTATTATTTAATAATTAAATATAGAACAATATTGTACATAGTACCATTATATCATTAGGTATTATGTTATCTAAATTTTATCGACATGTTTTCAAGTTAATTTGTCTTTCTTTTTTTTTAAAAGCTTCAGAAAAAAAAAAAGGTTATTCAATATTTCAATATGATGTCCTAGTTTGGTGATTTTAAAATCTGGCAACCCTAAATTGCATAGCTATTAGAAAACAGATTTGAGGTTTACAGCTTAACGCCTTGCGGCTGAGGTAAACCACAAATGTATAAAATACGCTTAGGTTTTAAGCTTACATCCCTATAGTTGTGATATGTGATAGCAAATGAAACTTGTAAGCCGCAATACAGGGTTTTAAGTATAAAATAGACAAAATATTAATCGAATTGTTACAGACTTTTCGTATTATTTCATGGCTTTATCTTGCAGTTTTATGTAGCCAAGTATGAAGTAACTCTAAAGCTGATTGTCAAAGAAATCGCTTATTAGCTTTGATTTCATATTTGTATAAGTTTATAATAATATGATGTAAGGAATATATTTTGGATACTCAGCAATGAATGTATTGATTTAACAATGAAGTGGCTTTTTATTTTGGAGGACGACTAGGACGAGTACACATTGAGTTGTCATTAAAATCCTTCAGTTTTTAAAAATGAGTGTGGATTTGGATATTTAATTGGATCTAGTTTGTACTTTAGAGAGATTAAAGTTAAAAATTCCCGTTATTTTTATAATTAAGAAAAACAAATAAAAAATTAAAGAAAACTAAGGATATCTAACCAAATCCAATTTTAGTTTTTTAAGTGTAATTTTAAAACGAATAACCGTAGGTATTTCAAATTTTCATCAAATGTTTATATTATAATTTTCTATTTACGATAAAATTTGAGAAATGTTAAATGATTGATTTATTGATTTTACATGTATCTCATCATTGAGGTAAGTATACAATTTAAATTCAATGATAAATCATTGTTTATAAAAATCATTTATTATTATTTTTATGAACATTTTCACTAAGTATTCTTATAAGAACTCACTGGACATGAAATAATTTTTAAAATATAAAATTTTATTATTATTATTTTTATTATATTTTCTTTTTTGTGTTATTTTATTATTCTTGAATTATAATATATTAACTTGATAAAATTTGTGTTTTAGGGTAAAAAGGAACTTGAAAATTTGATTAGAAGGTTCTTCAAAAGTTGCTCAAATTACATAAAAATATCAGTAATTGACATTTGCAATTTATTTTTATATTCATATCATTTTTAATACAATATTTAATATTTTAAAATTTAATACGATACTCCATATAAGTTTTGTTTACAAAGTAATGAAAAAAGTTGAATACTATTTTACAAATATTTTTTATGAGTGTTTTAAGTTTAAATTTTGATGACATTGGATTCTATATTGTATTATTATATAAACACTGTATCATGGAGATTTAACATTTTCTCATTAATCAATTTTAGTTTTTTATTGTAATTCATAGAAACTCGAAACACATCACTTTTAATTTTACGTACTTAATAAAATAAAAATAAATATTTAAACTACCTGTTTAAAGGTGTATTATGTTTTTTTTTTTATATAACGTTCATTATATTTTTAACTATTTTAAATTATAATGCATTTTTTATGATCTACAAAATTATTATACAGCGTTATAAAAATAATTCTGACAAATGCAATTATATCATGAACAGTTATAAACATATCATTATATCATATAGATGGTTTTCTATTGTGGATAAATGACCTTCATACTAAATAAATATTCTACATAAAATATTTTATTTTTTTATCCGTAACAGCTCTTTTGATTTTAAAAGAGTTATGAAAAGAATAAATAACTCGGGACATATAGGGAACAATAATTAAAAATAATGCATAGTTATTGAATGAAACATCAAGTTTTATTTCATGAAAAATTAAGTACAATCATAATATCAATTTTTATTTAGAAAACTAAACAAACAATTAAGATCAGTTTAGAAAAAAAAAAAAATACATTGATAGATAAAATAAATATCGAGCTTAAAAATGTAATACATTGACATTTATAAAATTAACTACATAATAATAATAAAATAGGAAAGAATACAAATCATACCCTGAAGTATGAGATATTAATTGTAGTTTTTTTAAAATTATTTTATCATGATCATAATTTTGTCAGCATTAAATGTAAATGATAGTTGTATTATAAAATAATAAACTGGCTGTATAGTAAACTACGTATGTAATAATATTGGCGGCTAATAATTCCTTCAATCAAAACCTTTCCAGAAGAATTCTAAAAAAGAACATTAACATTTAGATAAATATATATTACACTATTATAACTTATTAAAAATTAATAATTAAATTAAGTAGTATCATAACAAAAATATAGTTATAAAATTAAAATATTACGACTGAAAAGTAACTTATATTTATATTATTACCAAAACTCAATAGTACAGTAAGCTCTTTCAAAATAGTTTATTTTTCATTCGATAATATTCTTAATGCTATTATTGCTGTTAAAAAATCCTGATGATTTTGACAATAAACATATAACATAGCTAATTTACATTCAATGGAACCAATTGTATGTAGTTAACTTAAATATAATATTAAAATGACCTATTATAAAATTTAAAGTTTAATAATATAAGATTTAATTGATATTTTAATTTTAGTGAAATATTGAAATTTTGAAATACTCAATGCTTGATTTAAAATTTTAAATACTAATAAAATCTGATGAGATTTCTTAAGTAATATTCTCACATTTAAGTTTGATAACAGATCAATTCAATTTTATATTAAATTTAACAACACAAATTGGTTTCTGTTGGACATATAGAATTTGGAATATTGCATGTTCGTAAGACAGAGAGAGCAAGTGTTGTCTTTAAATGTAAAAGTAGTATTCTTTAAATGTTTAGATGTATATAATAATAGGAAAAAATAAGGAAAACCAATCATCATCTCCCTCCTTATTATTTGAGTTTTATTTTGCTATTGAGTACATTTTTATTTCTGATGAAAATATTTGACGTCTTATAATATTTTAATTTAACATTTCTTAAATAACAGAATGTTAATTACATTTTAAATGTCATAAATTAACATAATATAATGTATTATAAATTGTTTTTTATATATAAAAAAGAACAGAAAATTTTAATACATAATACTATATAATACTTACTCTACGAACACAAATAGTACGATTACAACACCATAAAACACCTTTAGAAAGTTCACAAGGTATATTATTTTTGGATAAAATTTGTTTAAAATCTGATAGTTTTAAACGATTAATAAAGACAGATTTGCGAGGTCGAATTTCCTAGAAATAAAAAGTATGAGTTATCTACAATATGACTAATTTAAGAAAAAATAATTATAAGTAGAACATACATGATCCGCTAAAGGTTCAAGTGTAAACATTTGATCATCTATTCTTGGTGCTATAAATAAAAAAAGGAAATAATAGAAAAATATCCAAATATTGTGTTTAGAAAATAATAAACCAATATTTACTCTTTTCAGACACAGCATTGTCAATCTCCATACTATCACCACGACATTTTAATTTTAATTTGGCATTCATGTAAGCTAAATCACCATTTGGTCCTTTTTTAAAATTAACTGTGGAAAGAAGTTCATCTGTTAGACGTACCTAAATTTATCAAATTTTTAATTTTTTGCTGAAAAAGTTTTTATGTATTATGATATAGATTTATTTTTACTTGGTAAATATGAGATTCAGTAGTTACGTTTAAACAATGACCAATCTTAGGTGTAAAAACGTTACTATCAATGAATACTTTGGCAAAGTTGTACACAACTTTAGTGCTATAATGGTTGCCTCTTACTAAAATTAAACGTCTGGGTTTTAGTGCAAGTACAATTTGTTTTAACGACTCTCCGTCTGAGCGACCTTCAAAATCAATTGGTACAATTTTGGCTGCTACATAAATGTCCATTTCATACTCCACACACTTGGATGGAAGATCACATATATCCATTTCTTCATCTTCATTATTTTTTTTATTTTGTTCATCTACAGTTTTTTCTTCTCCCGTGGCAGTATTAAATTTAATAAAATCTTCTTGTCTAAATTTAAATATACATTTAAACAATTATGTAAAAAAAATTTAAAACATAAATATACTTAATGATTTCTCCATATGGGTCAAATTTGCATTTTTCATCGTAGTAAGGAAACATGGGCGGCAATTCTTTTTTAGAAGATTTTTTTGAGCTTAATGAATCAGCATCAACTAATAAGTCATGTTTGCCTCTCATAGGTTCTTGTTCATCTTCAGAATCAGAACTTACTGGTTCACTAATAACATTTATGATTTTAATATAAACTTTTATTAAAATGATAATTATATCCAATACTAACTAATATAGTAAAATTTTATTTATTTTAGAATTTCTAAAAAAAAAAAAAAATAAATACTTTTTACTGGCTTCTAATTTTTCTTTGTTATGTTTGATATTATATTCTTCCAATTCATCTTCATCCAAAGGTACACGTTTCTTGACAATCAGTTTAATATTCCTATCACCACCCTCCTCAATTAAATCGCGAGCCAAAGTACCAGGAGCGGTTCTAAAATAATGATAAATTAATTAACTTTGTTGTTAATAAGTATTATACTTTCAAGTACCTGTCTGCAAGAATAACACTGTTTTTTGGTTTTGAAGCCCACATAATAAAAATTTCTCTGGAAAATCCACTTTCAAGATCTCCGTTGCTGGCTAATACAACCTTAATATTTAAAAATTAAAAGAAAATATTTTATTTTACAACATTATAATACCAATAAAAATATGCAGACATAAAACTCTTCTATCCACTATTCTTGATACAAATAATCTTTTGATAAAAAGTGCTTTTTATACCAAGTCATTGAAAGAAAAAAAGTCACTGTATTTTGATTTAAAAAAAATCAATTAATAACTTTGTTTTAATGTAATTATAATACATCCTTAGATTAGATTATAGTGTTACAAATTTAAGTAAAATCTATATGAGTGTAACAAAGTAATTGTTGATTTTAACGCCTTTTTTTTTTTTTTATACATATAAACTTATATTTATATTAAAAATCAAGTAAACATAAACATTATGTTAGTTTTAATATTCTGTTTTAAAATCTTATTCATTTCATATATTTTTTTTTTTCTAACATAATTACGGAGTTCAAAACCTGGTGGTGGTATTGAAAATGTAAAAAAATAGTGAGATAGTTATTAGGTTAAATATTTTTACTCATTTGCATAGTACTATTTTCTTCCTTTATATTCCAAGTTTAAAATTAATAAATGTATTTTTGATAACTATTTTTTAATACAAATAAACAGCTATATTATCTTTATTTTTATTTTTTGTTGGTTTATATATTATTTTAATTTTAATTTAATGTTTAATGTAACATGAAAATATAATTACATACTTTTGGTTCGGAGACTTTGTTTAAATCATTCATGTTATGACATAGTTTTACATGCTTAAAAAAAAATGGATTATTTCTTGCACCTTCAAAACTTTTCATTAATTTATCACTCATCCATTCAATCTAAAATATATTTTATCAAAATCAGATTAACATTATTAAAATATATTCCAAATAGAAACTTACTTGAGACTTAGCGAATTCCACAGTATTGTAGCTAACATTTGTTAAAAATACTAAAGAGTACACGCCAAGACCAGATTCCTTATTACGCCACAATTGGTCCAACATATACATCAATTCTAGAACACGTCCTGCTGTATCAATTGCTATCAAAACATTGCCTTTGACACGTAATGTTGTCAATATACAAGCTGAAAAAACAAACATATTTTTAATATCATGAATATTATGATTAGTTAAGTATTGAACTAACTAATTAAAGACTCATCGCGAGATCTACGCCTAGGTTGTGAATAAGCAGCATTAAAACAATCCAATATCAGTAATGATGGTCTTCCAAGCCTTTCTAAATCACTGCCATTCAAATGTCTTTCTTTTTTATGATTAAAATCTACAGCATAAACAATATCCTCTTCGCCGATTTTAGATATTCTCCAAATTGTACCACCAACCATATGGCCAGCAGGCAATGCTACTATTCTTAAACCAATTCCTTTACCTAAATTAATAAATGAAAAAAAAAGTGTAAAATTAACTAACTAAATATATGATCCACAGCAATTAGAATGGTATTCATTTTTTTGGAGACTGAAAAGATCCCTTACATCACTGACCAAAAGTAAAATTATCTATTCTAAATTTTAATCATATTTTTTTAAATTAACTTCTCAAAATAAGACGTAATGATAATTATTTACTAATTTTGAAACAATGATTTCATTCTACATTTTGGTTATTGGAACGTTGCTCATCATTTGATTTCATATTATTTATAATAAGAAAAAAACTTAGCCATTTAATACATGAACATTTCTAACTATTTGTAATACAGAATTAATTCTGTGATTTCTGCATTAATTTAAATAAGAAAATTAATAAAAATAAACATAAAATAATTGAAATTTTATGTTAGAAAATTTCCAATGATATAAAAATTGTAAATTATCTAAGCAATAAACCGGAATATAAATTATTTATAAATGTCGACATTTGTGTTTATTGTAATAGAATTAAACAAATTTTGTTTATGATATGAGTTACTAATCTAGAAGTAGTGTAGTATAGAATTCTTTAATTAATGATTCTTACTTTTCATATTAATATCATTAAAAACATGAAGAAATAATTTGATTTAATCAAAAAATATAATTGGAAGAAACTTTAAATGCATAAGCAAAATTCATCAATAAATATAATTAATAAAAATATTACAATTAGACTAAATATATAATTATGACTTAACTGATCATTATAAATTAAAATATTATTTAATTATTGTAATTCATACCTTTTAATGAAACAATTTGATTATATTTTACTTGTATGACTTTATCGAAAGCAGCATCTACATCATCTAAGTTAAATAAAGTAAAATCCTCCACATTGCACAATGACTATAAAAAAAAAATGATTATTACATTGATATTTTCAAACATTTATTTGTATACATTTATTTTAACATAATTAAACATTAATAAGAAAGATAATTTTAATGACATACTTGATGTAAATCATACATAAACATTTGACCCATTTGATAAACGGGTATAGTAGCATATACAGGACAGTTTAAACCACATTTGCCAACAAGGTACGGTAAAATCCCAAGATGAAAACGATCTGGATGTGATAATAAAACTGCATCTATTTGATGAATGTACCTACAAGTAGATGATACAATATTAACACATTAGTATGTCGTTTAAAAAAAAAAATAGTTAAGTAATCTAACTTTTTTAGTTTATTGACAACACCCATGCTAAAATGTTCATCCCATCCACAATCCAACAGGAATTTAAACTCATCAATTTGTAGTAAATAGCAGGGTGGTGATTCATCACGCGCGCCCGACAAGGTATAAAATTTTATTATTGACGTCATTTTTTCGAATTCAAGAATAATGTCGTTCGAAATTCAAATCAATTATTAAAAATGGTTACATCGGACAACGAATGACTACCAAGTGTTGGATAGTGGAAAGTGAATACTGACATCGGTCACTAAATACTAATTAGTGTTTTACGCCGTCTACGGACACGGTTAAAAACGGTTAATCGAGATTTGAGTCTTGATGTGTTTAAGCGTGATCAGCGGCCGTAATGATATTTATTATTTAATAATGAAGTGGTTATTGGATTGTTGATACAACATCGTTTATACGCGTTATCAAAAATTACACCCACCCACGAAACTGAGGGAAACTGAAATAATATAGAGATGAGAAACATGTAGTCCATTGTTATCACACTATTCCTTAAAATATTATCATTATTAAACTTTTGTTATCAAATATAAGTTAATCGTAAATCGAATCTTATAAGTCATAATTATTATAGTATTAAATACGTTAATTTTATTATGCTAACGATTATTAAATAAGATTACTTATTTAAATTTTTCCTAATACATATTACGACAACAAAAGTCAAAATTAAATAACCAATAACGATTAACAATAAACAGTATTATAAGATGATACATGAGACTTGATATAGTTGAGGCATAAATTATAAACATTTGTTTTTTATTTTCATATTTGTATAGTTATTTTTAAATTGCATTGTTGACTTTCTTTAAATCATGAGTTTCCAATTGAAAAAACCTAGTGTAGTTTTAAAACATCTCAATTCTATTGTTGATAAAAAAATAACTAAAGAAAATACTTCTACAAAATCATCGCTTTGTGAATTATCTTTACAAAAAGAGGAAGAGAAAAAAAGACATAAGATGTAAGTGATGATTACTTTAAAAATAACTTAATCAACAAAAAACTTACAATTACTAATCTTTTAAAGTTACTATGAAACAATTATGCAAATGCAATACATTTATAGGGCATAATAACTATTGTCAGCTGACTGTAGTGCTATAGTCAAGCACTGTTTGGTGTTGTTTGGTGTTTGGGTGTATCACACGAGTGACTATCCAAGTTCTTAGTGACAAAGCAATGTTCTAATTATGGAAATACGTCTTCCAAAAATGTACTATACCCTATAGTAACAAAGATAAATTACCACTGCTAGGCTTGAGTTGTCAAAGTTCTGCTATAAAGATTTTAAAATGTATTAACAAAAATTTAGGAATCTATTTTAGTCAGTTCTAAAATACCAAATAATAGAACACATTTTAGTTGAAAATTCTTAAATTAAATATTGTAAGCCTATGTAGCTATGTTTTTATAAAATTATTTTTTATTTTATTTTAGTACAATTAAAAGTGATGATGATTCAACAACAATTGAATACATGACTAACGAACAACTTCAAACTACATTGATTAAAAACTGTAAGTATGATAACTTTACAAGTGTAATAAATAATAAGCTATCTATATATATATTCATTTTTACTGGGTGTTTTTTTTATCATCGTCATATTTTAAGTATTACTTTTAAATTTAATATTTCAGAGTAGAATTTCAATTTAGGTATAAAAATAAATTCTAAACAAGTAGTTATAAGTTTTTAAAATTTAAATGAACATTGTTCTCATTTAGATTAATTCAATTATTAAAAATGTTGTTTTTTGTAAATTCATATCATCTAAAAAATAAAATTTTGAATTATTTTTTACAGCTTTTCTATAAATCTTTTATTTATTTATAAAAAATACATTTCTTTAAAGTATTATTTGATAAAGTAAAATTACTTACAAGTTAATTGAAATAAATTGTTCATTTAAAAAAATAATTAACAAAATAAAAATATGGGCATAAACTAGAATCAAATCCAGAAAAAAAGAACTATTAATATACTTACCTAATTATTTGTAAATTTATAACATATGGAAATTTTGTTTTATTATTTTAGCATTCCAAAAAACAGAATCATCTAATATTGAAAAAAAAAGCTTAAATAAATCTACTATAAAAATGTTAGAAACTCAAAATCCAAACAAAGTGAGTACATGTTTATATTTTTGAGAGTAAAAAGTTTTAATATAAAAAAAAATGTAATCACATATTTATGTTATATAATTTATAATTTATATCTAACATATAAAATGTTAATTTAATGCTTTACTTAATTATTTGATTTTCAAATAACAAACTTTCTAAAATAAGAAATATTTTGATTTTAAATGTAATCAAATGTTGGGTATATACATTTTTTATTTATTTGAGGTAAAATGTTTAGTTAGTAGTTGTATACTTTCTAAAATATTTTGGATGAAAATATACTCCATTTATCTAATCAAATTTTTAATTATTTTTTTCTTAGAAAGAAAATAGAAATAATGATCTAATTAGATGTGCTACCAAAATTCATAAAAATAGTTCATTCAACCAAGAGACTTCTAAATCAGAAAAAAGTGAAATTTTATTTGGTACTCAAAACACTGAAAGGAATCACTGTGGTAGTTTTTATACATTATAAATCAATAGTTCAATAGTTTAATCAGTAAGAAATGAAAGTGATACATCTAAGTATCTTATCTGGATAATATTAGATTTAAATGGGGTTTTGAATTGATTAAAGGATCATCATTTTGTAAAAAAAATATTTTCAAAACGGTTTATAATTTTTGAAATAATAAGTGTTTTATGGATTGCCATTAATTTTAGAATACACTAAAAGTATATTGACCAGTATATTCTAAAATTAATGGTATTACCTATAAATTACTAAAAGTTCTGTAAATATTTTTATAGATTCAAATGTATCAAAAGACATTTTATTTAATGATGAAAATATTAATAAACTTGATGTTACATCTATCAGTGTAAGTATTAAAAGTCGATTTAACTAATTCTTACAGTTAAGTCTTGATAACTTGTAAAACTTCATGATTAATTTTTTTTCTTACCTTTTGTAAATATTTATAAGTTATGTTAAAGGTACCCAACTTCATAAATTTATGATTATTATTTTTTCTCAGATTCAACTTATCGAGATTCAACTGTAATGTATTTGAATAAATTATAGATTATTTGTTTTAGACTGTTCCAAAATTAGAAGCTCATATAAAAAACTTAGAAAAAATAGAATATGAAATGTTACAAAAAGTATTCAATATGTTTGTAAATATACCAGAGAAGTTAGCTATTACCATTCCTGGTCTTCGAGATCCATCATCTTTACCTCACCTTAAAAAAGTTCGACAAAAAATAAAAAATAAAATAAAAGTTGCCAAAGCACAATTGAAAAGTCAAAAAAGTATTACAAAATTTGAGAACTCTTCAATTTTAGATGATATCTTTGTTGCATCTGATGAAGATGAAAATCTTGCAAATAGAATATCTGAAAATATATTTGATGATATTCAATTAGTGCATGATAAAAAATTATGTTTTCCAATAAATTTAAATAAAAATTTTCAAATTAAACCATCATTGACTAAAAATAAAGTTGAAAACTCACCATGCACAACGACATCATTAAAAAATAATTTAGAGGAAAATGTTTACATGCTTGAAAAAAGTTCAAATTTGAGCTGTCAAAAATATTCTGCTAGCTTTCAAACAACCAATAAAAGTATGTAATATTGTCATTTTATTTATAAACAAGCATCTCAAAAATTATTTATTTTTTTAGCAATAAATGTTTGTACAGATCAACTGATTCAAACAGATCATATAAATAACAGTAGTAACAAAGATCAATGTTCAAGTACAAACTCGCCCATGAAAGAGTTCATTAAAACTGACTATAATTTTTCTTGGGAACTTTTAGCAGTATTTAAAAAAACTTTTGGACTTCGACATTTTCGTCCTAACCAATTTGAAGCTATTAATGCTGCTCTGCTTGGACATAATTGTTTCATTTTAATGCCAACTGGTGGTGGCAAATCATTATGCTATCAATTGCCTGCAGTTATAACAAAAGGCATAACTATTGTGATATCACCATTAAAATCATTAATTATTGACCAGACTCAAAAATTAAAATCTTTAGATGTAAGTATTAGCTAAATTCTGTTTTAGAAACTTTAGTTTGAGATAAATTTGTTAATTTAATCGTAACCTTGAAACTTTAAAAAAAATACATAGTATAATGTTTAATATTTGTTTTGAAATAATTATTCTATTAATAGATACCAGCAGCTCATTTATTAAGTAATATTACTCCCGACGAAGAAAATGCAATTTTTTCTGAACTTTGGGGAGCTGATCCAGGTATATAAATATTAATTAATAATATTAATGTGAATAATGTGATATATATATTTATTTTTGATAATTTATAAATTAAGTATTGTTTACACATTTTTATTAGATAATTTTTTATAACTGTGAACTTTATTCAGTTTTGAAATAACCACAGTATAATATTATTCATAATTATTTAAAAATATTAATATTTTTGATATCAAAGCTTTTGGTATGAATTTGCATTCATTATTTTATTTTAAATTAAACATATGCTTGTGTTTAAGGATTAAAATTGCTGTATGTCACGCCTGAAAAAGTTGCAGCAAGTGATAAATTAACACAAGTTCTAAACAATTTGTATTGTAGGAATTTACTAGCTCGAATAGTTATTGATGAAGCTCATTGCGTGTCACAATGGGGTCATGATTTTAGGTTGGTATAAGTTCTATTCAAGTGTTCAAAGTGATTTTATTATGTAAAAAATATGAATTTATGCTAAATATTTATTTATAGACCAGACTACAAGCGATTAGACATATTTAAACAAAATTATCAAAATGTTCCAATTATGGCACTAACAGCTACAGCAACCCAACGTGTTCGTAAAGATGTTCTGCATCAGCTTAATATAAAAGAAATAAAATGGTATAATATTTATTTAATTACAATTTTAACTAAATTTCTGACAAATGTGTTTGTTATAGTAAATCTTTCAAAGTAATAAAACAATTATTATATTTTCTCTTTATTACTATTTTTAAGTTCACTTATTTAATTAAATTTTTTAGTATTTTCTGAATATTTAATTTAGTAGCTTAGGTCAGTTGTAGTAAAGAATTACTGAATTTTATTTATTTGTTCTCGTGATATAATTTGTAAATAATCAAGCACCCAAGAATACAAAATTAAGTTCTAAAGATAAATTATTTAATGATGTATATAAAATAGAAAAATATAGTCTACTTTATTAATCCGTTGTTAGTTTTGTACATTAATTAATAATTCGTACGTACATATATTATATCAGTTTCTATCAGATCAATAAAACACTAATAATTAGATTACAATTTTTGAAACATTTTAAATTTATTATTATTATACATATTTAAAATTATTATTATAAAATTTAAACACTGTCTACTTGGAAATTTTCTTGACTCTTACTAACTATCTATGTTTGGGCTATAGAAAACACTTTTTTTTCATACTGACATAATCAATTATATAAAAATCAAATATTGTTTGAAATATAACCAAATTAAAAATTGTATTTATTTTCATATTTTAAATATTAACTAGGAATCATTTGATTCTTTAAAATTCTTTTTTTTTATGAATATAACAAGTTAATTTTTATGATTAAAATATGATGATTGTTTAATAAATTACATTGATATACTTTTTTTTTTAAAGGTTTGTATCCAGTTTTAATCGACCTAATTTAATTTATGAGGTGATCCCTAAAAAAGGTAAATCTTCATTATTAGAAATTGCCAATTTAATAAAATTGAAATTCACACGTCAGTCTGGTATAATTTATTGTATGACTAAAAAAGAATGTGATAATACTGCTCTTTTTTTATCTGGAGAAGGAATCAAAGCTGTAAGCTATCATGCAGGTTTAACTGATAAAAAAAGAAATGATGTTCAAATGCAATGGACTTCTAATAAATCAAATGTAAAACATGATCTTTATGGTATATGCAGCCAATAGGTTTTTTTTTTTTATATTAAATTATCAATTTCAGGTAGTTTGTGCTACTATTGCTTTTGGCATGGGAATTGACAAGCCAGATGTACGTTATGTTATACATTTTTCATTACCACAGTCTATTGAAGGTTATTATCAAGAATCTGGTAGAGCTGGACGAGATGGCGAAGTAGCATACTGTTTGTTGTACTACAACTATTCAGATATGCATCGTATCAAAAAACTCATTGAAAGTATACAATTACTTTATTGATTTAAAATTGTATAATTTTATATAAATAACTAATTATGATCTAACATATTTTAGTTAATGTTTATAAGTTATAACCATTAAGCGCGAACAATTCAATTAAGTCTTATAAATATTTACAATTCATGTTTATAAATAGATATTTACATATTAAAAAAATATACTTAATTATACATTATATAAAATATTATTGATTACCATTTATGAAAAATAAATATAATTTTTCATCTTCCTGTATTAAAGTTTTCAATTTTTTTTTCAGTTGGAGGTGGGGCTACTTATGAATCAAAAAAAGTACGCTTTTTTAATCTCTGTAGAATTGTATCATATTGTGAAAATAAAATGGATTGCCGTCGTGCTTTGCAACTAAACTACTTTGATGAACATTTTGATAAAGCTCAATGTATTGCTAATGAGAAGACCACTTGTGACAATTGTCGAATAAAGGTATTAAATATTATTGAAATTCAAAATAGTTAATACCGGTTTAATTAGTAAGAAGAATTAGTCAAGAATTTTTGTTAAAATTGTAAGTCTTTTTTTCTAAAAAGTAATAAAATTACTAATATTAGGTAGTCTAATATTTGTTCTCATAAACATCCTACGGGGTAAGTTAAATTATTGTTGATCATTAAATTGTTAAGTACATTTGTTATCATTAAATTGTAAACTTCCATTTAGTTATATATTATTCAAAATTAGGTTTTTATTTCAGCATTCCGTTAAATTAATTGATGTTACAGAAGAAAGCATTAATCTAATAAAAATTATTCAAGAAATCTGTGGTTCAAGCAATAATTTTACATTCACCCATTTTGTAGATATTTTCAAAGGAAAAAAAACTCAAAAAGTGGTATTACATGGTAAAATTTATAGTTTTTTAATTATTCTATTCATAATTATATTCTTAGAAAATATTTAAAAATAGAAAAAAAAACAATTATTAAAATATAGGTCATGAACATTCTAATATATTTGGCAAGGGTTTACACTGGGATAGACAAGATATAGAACGATTAATACATAAACTAATACTTGAAGGTTATTTAAGCGAAGAAATGGTTGCATTTAAATCAGATATCATGAATGCGTATATTCGGATAGGTCCTAAAGCAGAATCACTTCTAGCGGGATCTGTTAAGGTATAAACAAATTAGAATATAAATTAAACTGTGATTAAATAAATTTTTTAATACTATGTTAATTTTGTTCATAGTTGTCACTTGCATTCAGTCCAAAAACAAACACGATAGATAATAAAATTATTAGTGTTAAAGATAATACTATAAATCCAATTCTTGAAGAAATAAAAGAAAAATGCTATACAAATTTAATGGAAATATGCCGTGGTTTAGCTGAATCTTTGGGTATTAGTACAAATGCTGTTATGACTGTCCAAGTAAGTTTGAAACAAATACTTAACTTGAACATTAATTCAACAACATTTTTTTTTAAAGTATGAGTTTAAATAAAATTATACAGTCAAACTTAATAATATAAAAGTAAAAGAAGAGAACTATGTAATATAATAATTTTAAACTTTTAAATATATTAATATTTCAGGCGATTCGTTCAATGTCACAATTAATGCCCGAAACTGAAGATGATATGTTGAAAATTGATGGTATAACAAAATCAAATTTTGAAAAATTTGGTCAACCTTTATTAGAAATTACACAACAAGCAGCTGCAGAAAAATCAGGTATAAAAAGCTGTTATTTATATAGTCTCAAAAGATTAAAGAAAGTAATTTACAATTTTATCTATAGTTGTTTTTCAAAAACGTTTTTTATTACAAATAAAAATAAATTCCAAACCATTAGTATTTAAGAATACATTATATAATATTCAAATATTTAGTATTTTTAAAAATAAGAATAATTAATAACATTTATATTTCATAAAATAGCAATTAAAAATACTGAAGTGTATCAAGAGAGCTCTAGTAATAATGAATATTATCAAGGAATTAATGTTGATTCTCCAAATTATGAAGATATAGTTAACAGAATGATGGAAACTACAAGTACTAGAGGAATAAAACGAAAAACCACTTCCTCAACTAATAAAAAAACCAAGCGTTTTAAAAGGACTAAAGGAAAAAAAAGGTAGGCAAGTGGGTATTCTGCTTTATATTAGGTGTCATGTGGGTCACCATTATGAGTATGTTAAATTTGAACTTAATAATATATCATTGTAAACGAAAAACAATTTTAATCAAAGATTGTCTTCAGTAGTCAGCCTATATCACTAAGTTTATTTTGTGATATATGAAAGCCATTTATTTTATTTTTAATACTTAATATTACAGTTGATTGATATAAATTATTTGAGATAATGTAGAAATTATATAAATATTTTATATAAATCAAAAATTTTATTTTATTTTTCTGTGAATATCTTAAAATTAATCAAAACGATACTGCGAATAATGAAATTCATAATAATATAATTAATATAAAAGTTACGTACCCTAACCTTCTGTTCCCTACTAATAATTTTTTAAATGATTTTAAAATAATCATTATTGTTATTTATCATTTAAATATGTAATTTTGTACATACTTGGACTTAAAACGTCTATAAAAATAACTGTCTTGATATATTTTTTTAGATTTTATAGTTTGACTATTGACTTCTAGTGAAGAATAATGTATTAAATTTTCAAAATTTAGATGCGAAAAAAAAAAGTTTTAATGAATTTCAAACTACAAAATAATTAACAATATTTCGAGATACCTATTTATGAATTTGTTAAAATCTTTAATCCTACATAAAAAAAAATTGTACCTATGTATTTTTAATATTTTTATACAATTACAATTATATAAGTTTTTGTAAGATCTTATATTAAATTTTTAAGCATTTTTATTCCTAATATTTTCAGAAAGAAACTAATAAATTCAATTTAATTTTTTTTCAGGAAAAATAGTTCCAAAGGAACGTCAACTTCAACAATGGCAAAAATACGTAGTGCGGCGATTAAGCTGAATGCTAAGTTACGTCCTACTAAAAAACCAGGATTTTTACCAGCGCCAAAACAGACTTCGACATAAAAATGTATTGATAATTAAAAATGAATACATCACATTTGTATACACCAGTGGTCTTCAACCGGTGGGTCGTGACTAATTTTTGGGTCGCGTTATCTTAAAAATTGGGTTGCGATAAATTTTTTTTTAAACAAAATTTAAGTTTAATAGATGAAAATATATTAATATTTTACCTACTTAAATGTAATTTTTATTTATTCAGTTATAATAGTACTACGTCAAAGCATTAAGCAATTGTAGCATTTTTTCTACAAAGCTTACGTAGGTCACGAAAAATTCAAGCCTAAAAAAATGGCTCGCGAGTCTGAAAAGGTTGAAGACCACTGGAATAGTCTATATTAGCAAACTTTCTTTGTTTAATATCTAGAAAGTCTTGCTGTTATTATAGAATTTAGCAGAGATGTGTGTGTGTGACAGACATATACGAATAAACACGGTTATCACACGGATTTCAGTGTTAATTATTCGTTTAAAATATGTAATAAAGAAGTTTTCAATTATAAAGTTTGTGTTATACTTCTCCTTACAATTGTGTTTGACCTCAAAAAACTAAGTAATTGTGCTAGGATAATCATGTTTTGTAAGTTAAGTTGATAGTTTCTTAAAAGGAATAAATGTTAAATGATAAACATATGCCAATGTACATCTCTATAAATTGACAATGCCGACCAAAAAATATTTTTGATCTAAGGGATTAACTAAAAATGTACCGAGTAAGACATTATGGTTTTAGCACATATTACTCAGTAAGAATGATACGTTTAAGTAGTCAATCACAGTAAATTGGTCTACAATTTATGTATATAAAAAAAAAGTATCATAAAAGATATGTTAAAATATTGTATAGCTTAACAAAAAATTATTCGTTTTAAAAAGGCAATACTAAATTTTTGACTTGATTCTAACATACCAAATTTTCATTCAGCTCAACCAATCTTGTATTATTAGCTTCAATATTAGTGTAGTGAATTTAATGATGATATCAAACTAAAAAGAATAAAAATCATTTAGGACTATTTTACATATTTGTAACTCATTTTTAAATTAAATATGTGAAATTTTAAAATAGAAACACACCAGTGTTACACTTTTCATTCAAAAATTAGGTCAATTATACATAGCCGTACTAATACAAAAGCTATTTGTATGATCACAATATATTTATTTCATAAAAATTGTTATAAAAATCATGAGTCTAGGACAAATTGTACATTTTTGTTTTTGCCTTAACATGATGTATAAATATTATTTATTGAAAACTCTTATAGTATAATTATATCATATATCATTATCATAATTTTTAAGTACTATAAAATATTTAATGTAAATTTTTTAAAATAGGTGAACATATAATATAAGTATAGGAACAGTGGATAGTGGACGTATATAATATTAACATCTAATATCTTGTAGCTTGTAGTATAAAATGTAAATGATACTATAAACATAAACTATTACAATAATGTTTACATAGTGTATAAAATATTCTAAAAAATTGATTACATGAATTCTGTTAATTATTATACAATATATTAAGTTTAAGTATTGGTATATAAAAACAATGTATAAAGTCTTGACCTCTATAAATATCTGATATTTCATTTTTATGTATATATAATGAATTTGGATGATAATTTTTTTAATCAATCATTTGATTTTTATAAAAAATTATAGTTATGACAACTTTTTACCGAGTTTCCTAAAATTTTCATCTTATTATATTTATTTTAATAATAACTGAAATATATACATATGCATCTACAATTCATATTTTTTTATCTATAGTTACATAAAATAAATGTTTAATAAGGCACATATTGTAAAAATAAAACAAGTTTGAGCAATGCTAATTTTGTAACAATGAGTTTTTTAAACTTAACATGTTAAATTACAGAGCCATATATTAAAAAAAAAAACTTAATTTGACAGATCTATTTATCAAAATTGATAATTTAAATAAGTTTCCAGTCGTATTAAGCTGATGGAATCAATAATATCATTTAAGATATTCAGCATATTAAAATTACTATTTATTTATACATCAAATGTATAAATTGGAATATTCATTTTTTTAAATAAAAATTAAAAAAAGTTATACAAGTTGACAAAGCTAAACATAAGATATAATTTAAAAGATAAAATTGAATTTTTTCCATAGATTTTAACTTAGCTCAATATTCATAAAATATGCTAATAAATAGAATTAGATAAAAGTTTTTTAAAATAAATAAAGTAGTATAAACTTTTGAAAGAGAATTTCTCCACTCCTTATTTTATTAAGTTTGAATAAACTCGTAACATCGATAACAATAAGTGTTATACAAATGTTTATTAATTTATTATATAATTATAGATAAATTTGTGTTAATTCAAAGCATAATTTATAATATTAGATGAAAATCAAAATGTTATTTAAGTAACAGTAAATTTTATATATATTCTTTAAAAATAATAGTTTATTATTGTCATTAAATTTTAAATTTTACAGGTGATAAACACCAATAAGCGCCCACTTACAGTTACACTATTGAACCCTCAAAAAGCTAGTTTTTCTGCTATGAATTATAAATATAACAAATTATTTTTCAACATGATAAATTAAGCAATTCATTGTATTTTTTCTAAAATAAGAGATTTCAAAATAGTTACTGTTCTAATTTGACTTAAAAATTAATTAAAATAAAAAAGTATCAGGTTCATATTTCTAATTGAAATGAATAACAAAAAATAATTTTATAAAAATCCTGATTTGCGTTTTAACACTATCTAATTCTATTATTAGAATTCAAATATTTATAATATCATAAAAAATGTTATTAATTAAATTTGATGAATTCAAAGTATAAATTATTCGCTATTTATAAAATATCTCTATGACCTAAAGAATTCAGTATAAAAATCATATACTTTTTTATTTGTGTAAATGGTTAGCAGTGCTAATAAATTACACAATAGTTAACAATAAACTTAAGACAATAGAGTAAAAAAAAGTTCCTTAAAAATAATTGTCAATTTCAGATTTTTTTTTTAACAGCCCTTAAGACTTTTCATTATAAGCTAAATGAGACATTTCTAATGGCACCCACAACTTTTTACTATCATGTTTTTATACTTTTTTAATATAACATTGTTATCTTCCAAAAAAAATAGTACTGCTTGTTGAGCCATTTTTGTTGGAGCGCAGCATGGTTTAGGGACTTGTAGAGGACTCATTAAATGCACCAATGTTTGGACAATTGCATGATTAGTTGCATTCATGTGAGCATTGAGTGGAAAATTACATTCGCCTGTGCAATAAAATGCACCATAACCATCTGGCGCTATTATCCAATCCTGAAAAATGTTTAATAATATTTTAACAAAGTTTGTTTTTTGTAGTCTTTGTATTTGTTAATAAAATCAATCGAAATGCTCTTAGTTTCTAACCTCGGTTTAAGAAGTATAAATAAAAAATAAAAATAACAATGATCTAATTTAAAGATCAGAAATATCCAGCTCACAATTTGAATCTATTTTATAAATGAAAAATAAATAGACTATAAAAATATTTTACTTTAATGCTATTATTTTTTCACATTAATTGTTTATATGTAGATTCAGAGTAACTTACTAAGTATAAAAAATAAAAAAAAAAAAAAATAGTAATAGGTAATGAGAAAATTGTTTTCTCGAACATTTAAATCATCTTAGAAACTAATTGCCAACCTTTGATCTAATAGCTCAAAATAAAATGTAATGCAGTTATATTATTGTGTGAAATGGTACATAATACTTAAATTTTAATATAATAAAATTCTCATAATTCTATAATATGTCAAAAATTTGAATTCTACTTATTTGAACTTAAATGTATTTTAAATCCAAAATCATAAAGAAAAACTTTACCTGCCATTCAAGATCTCTGAAGCTCACATATAAGGTCTGTATTTGACAACTTCTGGATTGAAATCCATCTGCTATATCTGAAATAAAAATTAGTTTTTTCTTACCATTATTATTTCTTATTTTATATACATGAACAATATTAATCATTAAAACTATATGCAATTATTATGATTAAAAAAAAAAAAATTATATCAAGAATTAAGCAGTTTATTAAAAAATATTGTCTTTTACTTAAAACAATCATTAAAAATCAAATAAACATTCTAAACAGGGACTCAATCTTTTTTATGAAAAAAAAAAAAATTATTTTATTTTAACCACATATTTTATTAACAGTTTGACACAATTTCATAGAAAATTTAATAAACTTATTTTGTGTTTAATTTATAAGTAAGAAAGATACAAATAATTATTTAGAACTTTTATACTGATAAATTTATAACTAGAATACCATATTGTAACGATTTTGTTAAGCTCCCTGACTACACAAATAAGATGTAAAAAATAATAAATTTAAAAATATAATTTAATACACTTATATGCCGGATTGCAGAAATTATTTTTAAATATTTAACTAATTAATAGTGAGTTGATGTTGTACGAAACATGATTTTATGACCCCTTGATTGATTAATTAAATGAATAAATTTTTCATGCAACCCATTATAATAATTAATTTTGTTCAAGTCAAGAACTATACTCAACAGTGACTAGGTTTTTTTGGACAATTGTTACTCCGTCAAGTTAAAAAAAGTGGGTTAGTAGATGATCAAAAGTGATAAAAACTTTTTATGAATCTTGCTTACTTTGAAATGGGTTTGAGTTGTAGCTACTTTCAATAGTTTTCCTTCTTCTTCGTCTATAATGTTTTTGAAGAGAAGGACCTCCAACTATATTACCTCCATTTCTGGACTTCAAATAAACAGCCATAAAAGGTTTTTTTGCTTCAGATAATTGGTGTTTGTCAGCCCAAGTCACCATACCAATTTCTTCAGGTTTGATTTCATGATCTAATAAGCATATTAAATAATTAAAATCAAATATAAATATTTTTTTTATTATAATTGTTTCTTAAGGATTTATTGTAATAAAACTAATACATCCGAATTTTAAAACAATAACAATCTTATACTTTCACTTATACAAGAATAGCCACTGATGTCAACCAATTTTATTTATTAAACATTTCTAGCATTACACGAATCTAATAGTTAGGTTGGTGAAAATAAATATATCATACTGGTTAGATAACAAAAGTCATATAACGTAATAGTTTGTTAAAAAGCTAGTTTATCTTTTTAGTATATAAACATATAAGGTTATTTTTCATTCATCATAATTTATTTGTAAACAATAAATTATTGTTAATTTAAAATAATTATAAATAATTATTAATTCTGGTTTAAATTAATTTCTATAATTATATATATTTTGACAATATATAATCAAAATTACTATTTTCTTATCCCATTAATGGCTTTAGTCATTTTTTTCTTTTTATATTCAAGAATAAAATATAAATGGGTATTTCAGTGTTCAGTGTTTTTAAGTGATTCTAATATGGGCAAACATTCACTATATAAATTCAGAAATTATTTGAAGTAATTTTGATAATTTTTAACATATTTTACCTTCATTATCATGAGAATGCACAGAAACATATAATCCTCTATTAGGACATGAGTAATGGGTCCAAGAAACTAGAGCACCAGTTGCATTAAACCGAAGCCATCCATCATAATCTGTTGTTGTATTTTGGGTATCCACAAATTCTAATTCTTTTTCTCTATTAAATAAATGATAATAATAATAAATAAACAAATAAAATGTCATAACTATAATTTACTTACCCATTTTTTGAAATTAATACTTGGTACAATGTTACTGAATACTTTTTAACACTACTTAAAGTTCCAGATTGATACAAATGAACTTCAGCTGAAGTAATCATATGAGTTTCTTCAGGTGGTACATCATTTAATTCAAATAAAATCCGTTTACCATGTTCATGCCGAACATTACTAACTGGAGCTAAAAATAAATTAAATATATAAATAATATTTAACCATAAAAAATTATGCTTAATTTATAACAATTAAACATTATACTAAATCATATTGAGTAAAAAAAAAATTAGTCACTAGAATGGAATTATTTATTGTTTAAGTATATAAACTTTTTTTATGGTTACTTACAATGATTTGATAGGTATAGTGTGATAATGACATCACTATCTTGTACTGTACGATCATCATATTGACCAACATCCGAAACACTTCTTGTTTTTCTGTCATGTAAACCATCTTGTTGAATGGATCTATAGACGTCAAACAAAAACTGTGGCGCTGAACCGTCTAGATTTTTTGGAGATTTTCGTGGTATTTTTGGTACACCAAACATGGTCAGTATCTCTTGTTCAACTTCATTCCGCTCCTCAACCGACATGAGATCTTTCTTAACAGTCTGGACACCATTGTCCATGTACACACCAGTCGGTGATCCAGCAGCAACCATACCGTACGCCGATAAATGGAACAGTACGGCACACGTTAACAGACATTTTTTTTCGTACATTTTTATTGTTATTGTTATTCGTAAATTATTAACTAGTCATGAAACGAGACGATTCTTAAAAACGAGACGCGAACACTAGAAAAATCGAATAACTATACAAGCTCAATCCGATTAGCCCACGGCCGATCGTGGAATGTCTGTGAGACTGTGAAAGATAGCTCCGGCGTAGTTAGCTGCTATACCAATGATAAGAAATTTGGTTGATACCAGTTATATTAAATTGTATTAACTTAATTTATAAGGGGCAATAAGTAAACATTTTTTTAATCAATATGTTTTTAACGTAAGTCAAATTAGACTTATAAAGTAAATTTGTGAGCAAAATAATCTTTTTACTGTCACAGATATTATTGTAAAAATATTAAACACATATTCACTGTTTAATTAATATAAATGTATATTATTTATTAAAGGTATAATCTTACTGTTTAGATTGTTTAGAAATATCTTTTAAAAATTGTATCAACTATATTATTCATCAGACACGACTTCTGAATTTTGAAAACAATAATTCCCTCTTTTGGAAATTATAATTCTAAACTTTACAATATAGGATTTAAATTTTAAATATTAAGAATTTTACTGTGTTATTAATATGAAAGTTAAAAAATTAAATTAAAAAATGTAAGAACCAAAATATTTTACTTACACAACAAACACGTAAGTGTTTTAAGACATTTTTCTTATATAATCGAAAATTGAGTTTTGATAAAAAACAAAACGATTGATATTCGTGTAGCGCTTTATTTAGCCGTTATTATGCAAAAGCGTTCCATTATTTATTTTATACACACAATAAGGATGGTTGCAAAGGCTCGTAATAGTTATTACATTTGCATGTTTTTTTTTTTGAGCTGTTAAATTTATTGTTTAGTAAGTTGGAAATTAATTTTACGATACTACAAAATAAATATTATAAGTTTATAGTGCTGATTTTTGCATAATTGATGATAACCTAAATTATATGTTTATAACACAATTCGAAATTTCACAATAAAAAAAATAAAATACTTTATAATGTATATTTATTTTGAGGGTTTTCATTAAGGATTATTGTATTGTGTTTTCAAATCCCTAGTTGACTTACAATTTCCCATTTTTATTAATTAAAATTAAATGAAAATTAATATGAAAATATTTGTATTTATGAAAATTTTGAGTTAAAAAAAAAAATAATAATAAGTAGGTACATATTTTTAAAGCATATTTGTGCTCTAATAAATGCACAAGTATATGCATATTTAATACTTTTTAAGTGCATTAAATTTCAAGTCCTAAATTAGTTACTAATTCGGTATTGTGTATAAATTTACCTAATAACTCCCTATAAACTTGTATTTTGTATTGTGATAATTCAGTTCATAAATTAAATAAACAAATATGTCATAAATTAAAAAGAATCTATTAAAAATATTAATAAATTTAAGGAAGTTTAAGAAACTAGGTATTAAACTAATAACTTAAATAAATATAAATACTTGCACCATTCATTGTCAAAATCTAGGGTAAGTATACAAAAACAGTTTAAAATCCTTTAAACTTTTGTAATTATTATTATAAGTAAACGTTTCACATTTTACATAGGTATATGTATTTCAAAATTAATGTGCACAATTCCAAAAGTTTTGTTATTATTTGAAACAATATTTTTGATAAATTTATACATTTATAATTATCATTATAATTCACTATGGTCAAAAGTTATATACCCATGTTTCTATATTATTAATAATATTACATTAGAATAAAATAACTTGTCTACATTTTGAACATTAAGTTCATTAAAGATAAGACTGGTACTATAAAACCTAGGTTTATCAGATAAAAATCGGGCAATTTTAATATTGTTATTTTTATTTTTTCTATTTTATAAGCACAACCAAAAATATTTTTATGAAACTAAAAATAGATTGCATCAAACAAATGTAAATATTCGTCTTCATTTAAATATTCTTAAGGAAAATTTGCATAAATTAAAAATAAAAATATTGATAAACAAACACATTTTTATTTACTATTTAGTATAATACCTACTCAAATTTTATATTCTTCCATTTTTTGCAAAACATTATACTAATAGTACTAATAGTTAACAATATCCCTAGAGTTAAAAATTAAAATTATTATCAAAAAGATGTAATTTTAGATGAAGATTATAATTCAAAGTAGAATTTTAGATTTATATTTAACATAACGTGATTATTTAACTATACTTTCTTTAAATATAATAATGTATTAACTAGTTTATGAAAAACGTTGTAAGTATCACCATAGATAAGCATAGCAATATCAGCATAACAAAAAATGTTATAATCATCATTTAAATTATATGTATCTAATCTTTATTTTTCTTGTAATTTATTGTTTAAGTAGATATGTGATTGAGTGATTCAAATAACTGCAAATTAAATTATAACAAGTTAAAGTTAAATAAACAGTAACATATTATTCATTTGTACACCTAATGGCTAATACCCACATTATAAACATTTAAAACATTATTATTTTTTACTTCAAAATATTTGAAACAAGTCAAAAATATGATGGTTAAGTGTTATGCATTATGCGAATATTACACATCAAAAGTAATGTCCATTATATTTTAATTACATATACAGATTATGTAGTATATTACTTTTGCTAATTTACTATCAACACTGCGTATAAGACGAATACAACCATCGTAGTACTGTGCTACTCATGACTTAGATAGAATGAATTTTAGTCTATAATAAAATAAACGTTAATAAAAAAATAGCTATTTCTTCATTGACCGAACTATGAGATTAGTAAAATGTGGACTACAGACTAGACTACGAGCAGAAAAAACCCAACTGTAAATGACATCGAACTGAACGAACGAGTACAAGAGTCAAGAAGTGAGAAGTTTCATAATTTCGAAGTTACATAGTTACAACAGCAACGCCTCGGACCCTCGAATTTCGAATTCAATAATTCAGTGATAAGACTGATAAAGTCGATAAGGATACGCGTTGTGGAAGGACTTTGACTGTGCCGGAACGCGATTCACGAACAAACGATGCATCGTCTTAACCTACAAAAATGATGAAATTGTTTGTATGGAACAGACGACTATACTCACGGCAGTGCGGCGCGCACGTGATTTTCTTACCGCGTCTGTTCAGAGTTTCAGACGTCGTGGTCGTTGTACCGCTCTTCCGCTCATCCATTTAAGTTTTGTTTACCAACTATCATTCTCCGTTATAACTTGCAACTTTACAAGTTATAACACCATTTTCAAAAATGGATTCCACAGGTAAGTGTTTATTTATTATTTTCGGCCAATTCGTCGTTAACGAGCGGGTATCGAAGAAAAGTCATCCCGACTAAAATGTGCGGACCTAACAAAATGTTCTGCTCGTAGTGTGTATTTTCCTTATCTGATCTTCATGTGTCGAATACTTGATTGAAGTTGTTAATTTTGGTATTTATTTTGTAAATGACTAGAATGCATAAGTGAAAATAAAGTTTTAAATCTGGTGGCTACAATTTTGTTGAAGTTAATCAGTTACAGAGAAACTATATGCCTCCTCAAACTGTTTAGTTTAAATTATATTCTAAGATAATCCACAAATTTTAACATGTAATTTATTAAACAATTAATATAAAATAAAGTAGTTTTAATTTGTAGTTATAATAATACTAATACTAATATACATAGTCTGTTCATTTGCCGGTTTGATACTAGAAATCTTACTATTTAATCTACTATTTCTATTTTCAAAGTGAAAGTGATAATTTGTATTATTTTTAAAACAAACGGGTAAACAAATTTTGTTCAAACATTATTCATACAAATAATTAGTGATATGACTAAATTTAATGTATTTAATAATCTCATAATTTCAAAAAATATATATCACACTATAAATCCCAAAAAATACACTGAACAATAATTAAAAATTAGTAAGTGTAAAATATTTTAAATTGACGATATTAATTTAATACATGATGTTGATGACTGAGCTTATAAAATAATATTGAAATAAAAATTAAATAGATAAAAAAAATTATTAAGAAAGTACTTAGGTAATATAATATTACCTATGAAAAAAAAAACAAACTATTAATTTGCCTATAGTTTATAATAGTTTACGTTAAAAATTTCAAATCCTTGCAAATGATATTTTTGAACTTCTAAAATTTTCAGATGAAAATTTGTGTTTATACATATTTTTTTAATTTTTGGCTTCTTTATGAGCCTTTTATTTGTAAACTTTTTGATCAGACTAAATTTTTTTTCTATTGACAGTAACCTATATAAAAATCAAGAATTTTCAATATCAATAAATTACTTAAAAAGCTTTAAAATATCTGGAAAATTATTTTATGTTTAGGAAATGCTAATATAAACACTTAATGAAAATTTTAAGAATTTTTAGTAATACATTTTTGATTTACAACAAAATCAGAAAGTTGTTTATTTACAATCAAGAATAAATAAAACTAATCATTGTAAAATTTTCAAAATATTAATTTTTATTATTTTTTTTAAATGACAATAAGGAATTTATGAATGGATGAAAATGCTTGATAATTGAATTTAAGGTTTCTAATTAGTGGTTCATTTTTCAATCAAAGAATATCAAAAATTATTGTCATAATATTTTTTAATAAACATCTTAAGTTAAAATTTTCATAAAATCTTAAAAATTAAAAATTGGTTTGTAGTTCAAAATTCATAAAAAATGTTCTGTTTATATTTAAGATTTAAATATTTATTATCATACTCTTTATACATTTGTCAATTTCTATTTAAGAAAAATTTTGCCGGGAGTCAAATTAATTTTTCATAACCATTTGAAATTTAAATTTTAACAGTGTTAGATATTTATTATTTTTCCCCAAATAATTTTTGCATTTGGTAATAATTCAATTATCATGGATATTTGATATTTTCACCAATTGTTTATGTTATCATTATATATGTATGCTATAATTTTATAAATGTTTTGGTTATGAGAAATTTTCAATTTTTTTGGTATTTTTATTATAAACATCATTAAAAAAGTTATTTGATTAATCAAAATTCTTGGAAAGTTAATATTAAGATTCTACATAAGTTCCTATTTCCTATTAAAATTAAAAAATATACAAATATAATTATATATATATATATAGGTTGGATCATGGTAATAGGAAGAGAAGTAAATTAATTTTTCTCAATGTTAAATGTGAGGAAAGTCTAGATAAACTCATTTGATTCGCCAGATAATGTTGTTTAGTTGTCACTATGCACAGTGAAGTTTTGTTTACCGCGTGTTTGTATATAACGTTTTTGTAAAAAAACAATGAATCAGTAGTTAAGGTGCAGTGTGCATTCAGACTTCATTTTGCTGTGCTTTCTCGATGGGAAAACAATTATAAGGTGGATTGATAGTTTTTTGAACAACTGGGATAGTTAATAAATTAAAACCAACTAGTCCCAAACAGGTACAGCACCGCGACGTCTGACACTGAATTGAATCCTGAATGCACACTGCACCTTAACTACCAATTCACTGTTTTTCACAAACACACGGTGAACGACATTCCATTATGCCATAATGACAATTAAACAACATTGAGAAAAAAACCTTTCTACTTTTGTCTTTATTCCTGAGGCTCAGTCTGTGTATGTATATCATGTAGCTTAAATTTGGATAAAATAATATATTTTAACATAGAATAAATGATGTTTATTATTTTGTTATGATTTTAAAAAACATTATTAGAGAAGTTAGGACATCAAACTTTTATGTATATAATGAATCTTACTATAAACAATGCAAATATCAAAATATGGGATACGTAGATTTATTTTAAAATATCTATTTATATTATGATCCTATTTGCACTGTTTTATGGTATTTACAGGAAAACTCTACATTAATAACAGTATTATGTGGTATCAGTATATATTATCATTTATCATAATAATTAAAATATTAATAATATAGTACAATGTTTTTGGAATCATCCTAACATAAAAAATTTTTTTTTTAAATTCAAATTTAACACATTCACAACAATAACCAACTCGACACCTAGTGTACAGCAGAACAGTATTTACTCGTCTACATTTTATATGCATACTACTATTAGTTATTTGAAATATTATTTGCTTGTTCAATATTTAACTTTTTTTGTTTTATTATAGTATAGATACTTTGTCATGTCTAATTTTAAGTTCTTAATATATTCTATTAGTAAAACAATTAATATTTATTTTGTTTTAGGTACTTCGCCGGTTGTTAAAAAAAAGAAAAGTAGAAAATCTAAAGGTGTATTAATTGATGAAAAATCCTTGGGAGAAATCCAGGCTGAAATCCCTTTTTTTATTAAGCCTTCTGAAAAAGCTGCTTCGATTTCTTCTTCAAAATGGCCTCTACTATTGAAGGTAATTATTAGCATTTATTGATTTATTATGTATTATTATTTTAATTAATATTACTTGAAGAATGGTAATCAAAGTTTTACTGTCAATATTATTTATTTTATGAAATAAATCCTTAGCTTTATTTTATTTTTTATCAATATTTTAATCAGTGTTTTTTATGTGAAACAAGAATAGACTTAAAAAAATGTTAATTTCAACATTATCTCTGATATATGGCTGGAAATATTTACATAATATCATGAAGCTTATACAAAACATGTATATTGTATTATCGATCATGATTAAATATTAAAATAAAAGCAATGCTATAACGGTATTTTATGTAAATATTACTAAAGTATTATGTTTTAATGTTTAATTGTTTATTATCTTAGTAAACATTGTATAATATACATTTAAGAGAATAATAGGTTGTAAACATATAATTAAATAAATTGTTCTTTAATGATAGTGTATCAAAGCTACTTGTATTGTATTTTAGTATATTATAATACAGACAGTATTTGACAGTTAACTTTTTGTGTTCTATTCTCTCTATAAAAATTCACAAAAAAGAGTTGAATATTGACCATTTGACCTATTATTTTCTAAGTACCTATTGTTTCTAATTTTTGTTAATTACCTAAATCACTCTATAGTCTGTGTGAATGTTAGTCTGGTGGTCAAACAATTGTACTTATAGTTTATTTTGAAATTCAATTCAAGAAAGGCTAATTATTTTTGAATTGTATCAAATTTTTAAAAAAATTAAAATTATTGATCAAGGTTATGTTTAATGTATATATTAAAAAAAAAAAAATGTTAGTATGGTATAATACCTTAACATACAAGTACTTTTTGATTTAATTTATTAAAATTGCTATAGGTATAGAGAGTTTTGGTTTTATGCGATTAACTATTTAAATATTATTTGACCAATTACTTTTTTTTATATTATTATTTATATTTATAGGATTTTGATACAATGAATGTGCGAACAAATCATTACACTCCTTTGCCATTTGGATCAAATCCCCTTCAAAGAGAAATTAGAGAATATGTTAAAGCTGGTTATATTAATTTGGATAAACCATCCAATCCAAGTTCTCATGAGGTAGTTGCTTGGATTAAGCGAATATTAAAAGTGGAAAAAACGGGTCACTCCGGAACATTAGATCCCAAAACTTCAGGTATTTAATAATTTTTTTATTTAAAAACCTTGTAGCTTTCCCTGCATTTACTCAAATAACATTTTAAGCAAAATAATACATGTCATGTTAAATAAGATGTGATTGATGGATCGATTGAATTCATCAATCAAATATATTTTAACATTTTCATAGAATGTTCTGATTAATAATGTACAAATATCCAATAATAAATTGATTCTTTTTGTAGAATATTATTGTTGTTAAAAATTGTAATGTTTCATAAGTAGGTACAAGAAATTTTGTTGGTAAAATTTAATAAAGGTTTATACATTTTCAACAATGCTTTTAGTTTCTCAATTTTGCTTACCCATATACTATCTTAATACCTAGTATTTTTTGTGTACATATTTTTTTTTTTATTAAAATGTTAACTTATAATGTTTTAACAACAATTTTTTAGGTGTATTGGTTGTATGCATTGAAAGAGCAACACGACTTGTGAAATCACAACAATCTAGTGGAAAAGAATATATTTCTGTATTTAAACTTCATAATCCTGTTGAAAGTGTTCTTGAGATTGGTGTTTTTATTTTTATAATTACATAACAATAGGTAAATTACATTATTTATTCTTTATAATTTAGATTAAAAAAAACATTGGAATCTTTGCGTGGAGCGCTTTTCCAACGTCCCCCTTTAATTGCAGCTGTTAAACGTCAATTACGTATTCGTACTATATATGAAAATAAGCTATTGGATTATGACGAGGAATCAAATGTTGGAGTGTTTTGGATTAAGTGTGAGGCTGGTACTTACGTCAGAACATTATGTGTTCATATGGGCTTAATGTTGGGGACTGGAGGCCAAATGATTGAGCTTAGAAGAAATCGTTCTGGTAATGGTTTAATTAACTTATTAGTCATTTTTTTTTTATCAACAGGTTAAAATTTATTTTTATTGTTTCCTAAGGTATTACTAGTGAAGAAGAAGGCCTTGCAACGTTGCATGATGTTTTGGATGCACAGTGGATGTATGAGAATAATAAAGATGAATCGTATTTAAGAAGAGTAGTCAGACCACTCGAAGGCATACTTACAAATTACAAACGTGTATTTGTTAAAGATAGTGCCGTAAGTGATAAACTACAATTATTCAATAATGTATTTATAATTTAATTTAAATTTTTTGTAGATAAATGCAATTTGCTATGGAGCTAAAATTATGTTGCCTGGATTACTACGGTATGATGATGGCATTGAACTAAACATGGAAATTGTTATAGTTTCAACTAAAGGAGAAGCTATAGCTTTAGGTAATTGAGTTACAATAGTATAATATTATTTTTTAATTATTTAACTAATTAAATTTTTAATGTAAATAAAGTATAACTTAATTCATAAATACGTGTATTCCGCGATAATATTAAATATTAAAACATAATAAATTAATTACTAACATCAACCGTTCATTTTATATGAATATTCTTTATTACTTTATAAATTAAGTTTAAAAATATTTATTTATTAAATTTTGTTGCTACTAAATAGGTGTTGCATTGATGACAACAGCTACAATTTCAAGTTGCGATCATGGTATTATTGCCAAAATCAAAAGAGTATTAATGGATCGAGACACCTATCCTCGTAAATGGGGACTGGGACCAATGGTACAATATTAATATTGATATTATAATGATCAAACAAATTATTTAATTTTTTGTGTTAGAATGTTGTGTTGTGTGACAATGCTCTATATAAATTTAGTAAAATCTTTTGTCACAGTTAAACATCTTACATACATGTTTTTATTAAGTCAAGGCTTCGTAAATCATAGCTATCTTGATTTTTTAGCCTATACGTTTTAAAAGCATGTTAAAAAAAGTTATTTAAATCACTTTTATTTAATTCATTTTTATTATGAGTTTTGTCTAAGTTATTTTATGTTAAATTCATATAATTAATGCTAGTCTAAACTAATAAAACAATCAAAAGATATAAAACACTCGCAGAGCAACATTTATAATAAGTTCATTATCTTATAAACCTTAATATGGAATTTTTTGTTTATTAGGCTAGTACTAAAAAGAATATGATAAAAGAAGGCTTATTAGATAAATATGGTAAACCAAATGAAAATACTCCAGAAAATTGGAGACAAACATTCTACAAAGATATGTAAGTTATAAATACATCAATATTTTTATATGATTATTAAATGCATTTTATTTTGTGTTGTAGAATTGAAAAATTGAAGACTGAAAATGAAAGTGAAGAAAATAGAAAAGTAATTTAAATTCATATTAAAATTAACTTAGTAGTATCAAACAACATTGATATGGTTTTTTATCAAAATAATACAATTGAAATTAGACGTGCATGACATATATTATTGTTTCATATATTACAACGGATAATTAATAATTATTTTCGAAATAAAATATTTTATTCTATTCATTATTTTGTTCATATAAATTGGTGGTATTTTTTTTTATTATTATTATTTTTTTTTTTTTTAACTTGTTAAGTATATTTGATTTTCGTAGTATAATATCTGTTTTGCTTTGTGAAATTAATAGATATTTATTATGTTATTAATGATATAATTATACGCAGCTAACATGGTATATATTTGATATTTTTAGAGAAAACGACAGAGTACACCACCGGAAGATGCACCTCCAATAACTGAAGAATTGATTAAACCTAAAAAAGAAAAGAAATCAAAGAAAGAAAAGAAAATTAAGAAAGAAAAAATAGATACTAGCCAAACGGAAGAAGATTAATTGGATAAAATCTGACAACTGAATGATTTATAAAGAAATAAGAATACACAGTTTTAATAACTATAATTTGTTATTCTTAAAGAAAAGTAATAAAATTAATTTGAATGAAAAATGTTGAGTTATAATTAAGTTTGTTGACAAAAAAAAAATGTATAAAGGATTTATACATCAAACAATATTGTTATTTAATTTAAATTGATAACCTATTTTTATGCAATTATACTGAACATACTTTTTTATTTGTTCTTAATTTTCCATTTAATTTATTTTAAAATTTCTGTAAATATAAATAAATACCATTAGCCCATTCAAACAAATTAAATAAAAACTGTGAAAACCATTTTTATGAAAAGAGTTGTGAGCATTATCTAAAGCGATTGATAATATTGTATATTATATAAACTATTTTTGAATTAATTATTGACTAGAAAAATGATAGTTAACAAAATTTTATTTTATTTTTCAAATGTCTTATTCTAGTTTCTTTAACTAGATAAACAATGATTATTTGTTACATTTATGAAGCACTCATAAATTAATTTCTCTAAAAAAAAAATAAAAAGTAATATTTCTATGTAAAATTCTTATTACAAAATATAAGTATGGAATTTTCGGAATAGGAAATATCTTAGTGTACATAAAGTGAAATAATAAATCTAATATCATGATTAGATTTACATCTTAATAATGGAAATAAAGAATAGTTACTTAGTACTTTTAATAGTGTATCACATATTTGGTAACAACATTCACATGTTAAAATCTTAAGGATTTTAAGTTATAAAATATATTTTTTTTAGTGACAGTAAAAACTTCTAACTTCTAAGCCTTTCCAAACTTAATATGATTGGTATTGTGGTAAAGACTGTAAAGTTACATCCAAATTTACATATTTAATGTTTATATTATATAAAATGTATGTTTATTAGTATGTTACTTGTAACGTGTTTATCATAAACTTAGTATATAAATTGAAGTAATCAAAAACAAACGAATGTTTTAAAAATTGTATGTATTTTACTTTGAACAACAATTGACAAATTACCTATGATTATCAAACTAGATGTATGATAAATTGATAAGCAAAAGGAAAATATTTTAAAATAAAACCAGAGTACCTACATGAGTAAAAATGTAGCCAAAAAGCTTCGTTGTTGACTTTGGTTTACATACAATTTAATTGGCACTATAAAGTACAAAGCATTCTATGTACCTAGTTATATTGTAACTGTAGACCATAAAATGGTGCATGAAACTTAATTATGGATTTCAAATGACACAGATTTTATATTTGACGCATATAATAGTGAGCTATACTTCAAGTGCCTTTTAATATAGTGGTTATTAGCCTTTTTTGTATGATGACACTCTAATTTGGATCCATAGAATGGCAACACACTCAGGTCCAGACTGGGAGAATACCGGTCTACTATTCTCAGTCACCAGGTGGCCCAAGATACAATATAATAAACAACATTTTTTATTTTTTTGCTGATTGTTTAAAAATATTCACTATAGAAGTAAATAAGAACTGAGCATACAAATAGTGAAATAAGATACAGTGTTTCTTTTTATTCATCATAGAAATTATATCAAGTACCTACTGATTTCTATAAAAAGTTAATATTGTTAACAAGGTTTGTACATTTTGTGTCATTTAATATTAGTACTTCTCGTTATTTGGACTTACTCAGCGACACCACTGGTTGAGAAATATTGCTTTAATAAATGAAATTATTTAGTTTAAAAATTAAACATTAAAAAACAATTATATTGTTGTGCTTTATGAATATTTTTAATGGACATACAAAATTATTAACGTATGATATTGTATTTTATATGTAAAATTACATTTCCAAAATTAATAGATTTAATTTGATGCAGTAGCCTATTTATACCATTAATCTATTTACACCGTATATCCGTATAATATATACTATTATCATTTATAAGTACCTAACTATATTATAATAAATAAATATTAATAATATTATAAATGTATTGGTTTCGGAAAAAATAATCGACTTACCATAGTATTAATACACAATAAGTAGTAAAATAAATTACTTAATAATATATAATAGAAACATCAATAAACATATTATTATGAAAATATACAGAATGTACTTATTACTTATATAGTGATATAAATCGTCAAACTGTCTCATAATTGTTTTTCGTACATATACAATAATAAATAATAATAATTAATATTATATTATTATTGAATTCAATAATTTAACACATCCATTACAGTGACTTTAGTGACCCGCTGTGCAATCTAAATTTAAAATTCAACATATGCTACACAACATAAATGTTAAACGGTGCCCACCTTTTTCATATTAGTTCATTATTTATTATGACTCGTAATGTAATACGAGTTTAGGTGATTGGAATATAATATATTGTTTTTGTAAATATTTTATTAGATATTTATTAAAACGATGCGCGTGGTTTAAATCTTATCAAATTTTATAAAATGATCAATTTCATTTTTCACGACTTATTTTATATATACAGTTTATATATATATATATCGTGTATGTTTGTACGATTACATGTTCATTTATAATAGTGCGAAGTGTCCGTGTTTTGAATTTTAAACAATAGACTATATACATAGTGATGAAGTAGGTTACCTATTATAGGTACCTATTATCAGTACCTAGTATTTATTCAGTAAACAGACTTTTTCGTAAAATACTCCCGAATACAACATTAATTATTGTAAGCAATACTTATTTAGTAGATAATATATTATTTTTGTGTGTTCTTTTTAATACATTTTTGCTAAATCAAAGGTAATATTTACATATGTCAGTCGTGTATCAAAATCCATAACCGTAAACTTCTGTAAGTGTCTATGCTACCTATTCGATTTTGATTATTTTGAACCATTTGAGTTTGTCGGTCAATACATTTGTAAGTAAATCTTATGGTTTTATAGGTTCTACTGTCTAGGTAAAATTGCTGTTGAATTTTTTTTTTTATGTGAGTTATATGAGTAACCAAGTACTGAGTAATACTTATAATTATTTCAGTTTTTATAATTTATTAATATTGCTGAAAAATCGAGAAGATTAGTTGCTGCATGTTGTACTAACTTTGTTAGATTAAGAAGAAAAACAAGGAAAGAGGTCAAATTTCGTGGTGCGTGGAAAAAAATAATAATGATGATGGTTAGGTATTATTATATTTATTTAAAAAAGTAATTAATCACGAAACAATGTTAAAAATATTTTATTTTATTTTAATATTTTATGTAGGTACTTATAATTTTTAGAAAATGAACCGTTTTAACTTATATAAGTATAAAACATTTAAAATGATAAAAACTCGGGAGATAGATCCTCCCCCTAACCTTTTTTTTAATATGTAGTTGTCTCATTTTATGTATTTATCAATATGATATTACTTTTAAGTAGGTATGTCTGTTTTTTAAATGTTTTAGTCGTGGTAATTGTACCGATTTGATATTCAATATTACAGTTGCGTATTTAGGAATTTAGTATGCAAGAGTGTTTAGTGTATAATAAACCCGATAAGCAGTCGGTAAATATAACAAAATGACTATGAAAACCATGGATTTACCTAAGGTAGATTTATTTTTAGAAAATTTGTTACTATTAACTAGTATGTATAGGACTAGAATATGATATCGTGATTCGTGAATAATAGATATTATTATGGTACGATCATTATTCCAAGTAGGTACTGACTTTTTGCAGTATTAATTATTGTTAGACTTTATTTTTTGCATATTATTAGTTGTAACCAAGAAGTTTTAAGACAATATAAGTGACACTCAAAAAAAAAAAAAACACTTTAATTAATAAAAAACTAGTAATTATATACTTTGTTTATCAGAACCGACTTAATGGCTTAATGAGTTGGCTTTATTGATATGTCACCGGTCGATACAAATTACAAATCATGCCAGATGAGGTTATCGTATGAAACACGGGATTGGTGCTAGTAATTAGTATGAATTTATAATAAATACTATTTATTATTAGGCAGGTATTATATAATCTGTGTTAATTCTTATTTCACCTTGATCCACACTAACCACAATAGATAATAAGTTAGGGGATTTTAAAAATGTATATTATGTATGTATTTATGGCCTTATGGGTGTATTATTAATTATTATATACTTTATCTCCCCCCAGCAAAATTCCTAAATACGCTACTGTACGGTATACATAAATAAATTAAAAATTTGAATGCAAATATTTTCTTGCACAAATGTACAATGTATTTTATATATATTTAATAATTGACTGATAAAATAATGTTGAATGAACCTAATTATCTCCAGTATAAATTACATCATTTAATAAAAATACATACCTTAAACCTAAAAATAAACCATCATTTACTGTTTAGTATAAAAATAATAGATTAAATTATTAAAACTAATAATATTAATATTAAATTATTCAGTAATGCTGCTTCATACACGATCAAGGTAGCAAGATATCTTGATGTATTTTATACCAACATGATCCATTTAACATGTCTTAACTCATGAGCTACATTGAATCGCTGAAAAGATTTAGATTCAAAAAATATTAAAATTAATTAAAATTGATTTTAAAAAGTATTTTATTTTATTTTATTAATGTTAAATATATAATAAATTTTTCCATATATATATATTATTTTAAAGGGTATATTTCTACAAAATAAGAGCATAAATACATATTTATTTAAGTGCATATTTCTAAAGGTTTTAGAGCATATAAATCTGGGCCTTAGTAATCACTAGGGTTCGGATTTCAAGGTAAAAGTCTTTTTTTATAATAATAATAATAGAAAAATAATTTTTATATAAACATGTGTTATTTAATATGTAATACAATGAATATATTATATAGTTTTTTTTGCCTTTTTAACTTATAAGTGCCTTTTTTGTGTTTATTTTTCAATAGATTCAATAATTTTATACACAACATGTATCTAAACTGTACAAATCGATAAGTTCTTTTAAAGATGGTGCATTGTCATTTTTCAATTATTTTTAATGGATTTTATTAGCTGCGATATTTATTGATATGGGCTAAATACTTTATCGAGTATTTGGTATTGACAGTTAAATTAATGTTTATAAATTTACCTATACTACATATATATATAGATTGAAATATGTTTATAATGCGTAAATACTAAATTCAAAATTTTTTATTAGTCCACAATTTTTTTTTTTTAATACAAACTAGTTAAAATAAACAATAAACAAGCTATTTAATTTTAAGAAATTATAAATTTTAAATGCTTTTTTTATTAATTATATTACCTTTAAATCCAAACTCTAGTAATCAATAATAAAATTATCTCAATTCAAGTAATTCAAAGAGGAACATGAATAATAGACTGAATATAGAATCATTCAGTAATAGTATACATATATATATATAAACTACTTCTAAATTTGAAATATTTATTTCATTTTTGAAAAACACCAAATGACCAATTTAAAATTAAAAAGACTAAAAATTAAAAGTTAAAGTATTAACTAGTAGTAATTCACAATTTATTTTGAAATAAGAAATATTAATTAGTTTTAGTGTATAAAAAGTAAAAAAAAATTGTTAATAAAAATAAACTATTATCGGGTGGGCTGTAATTTAGGTTTAGGCATTTTATTTAGTAGGCCTTGAATATCTTTTTTCTCATCATAAGATTTCCATAATTCAAATAGGTTGATTATATATCTGGATATTTCTTGTATTTTGTCTATGTCCACATTGAGTTCTGCAAACCATGATTTGAGATCTTTTTGCATAATAACACATGCAATTTGTAAACATCCTACAATAATAAAATATATTAAATAAATTAAAACATATTTTTTTTTTTAAGATGTAGAATTTCAATAATTTTTGACACTGAACTACTTACAATTTCATAATAAGAAAAATATTTTTTAATATCAATTAATGTGAGTATTCTCAGTTAGAAGTTAGTTGGGACATCCTGATTTCTGATACCAGGATTCTAGTAAATTCTTGGTGACCTTAATATTGAATACATTTAATTGGAAATATTGTGTAAACACAGTGGTGTATTTAGGATTTTCTTGAAAAGGGATATACATATTTTTAATAGGTATACTTGATTGTAAAGGTATAATTACACTAAGCTTGAGGAACATTCAATAAAGTTACAAATTTATCATATTATTTTGATGTGATACAAATACTTTTGTATGGTGCTTAATAAAAATGTTTTGCTTAAAAATAATTCTTAGTTAAAACATTTTTTTAAATGTATACAAAAGGCCTCCTATAACAATAATAATAATTGTTAATTGATATTATCTATACTATTATATTTCTTGAGATTTATTTGGTCATCATTAAACCATATCTAAATTCCTAGTCAAATGTAAAATGTTTTTTTCAGTTATTAATTAGCAGTATATTAGATTGTTAGGAATCTAAAAAATAGATTATTTTTATGATACATACATATGTCACACACATAAATATTATTGAATAACCAAGAGTGTTAAATATATTAGAAAAATATTTTAATCGATTTGAGTGTTATTTTATACAAATTTTTGAACTCAAAATCAAAATTGATTAAATAATATTTATAGTATTTGAGATAAATTTTATTGTATAATGGAAATAATAACAAAATCTTACCTATAGCTATTTGATATGGTGGATATAATAATGACAAATCAGTTCTTAGACTATCATTCACTACTCTCCACGCTAATGCCAATAATTGATCTTCATGTTGCCCAATATCTTGAACCAATTGAAGCAACGGACGATAAGGTTGAAATACAATCAAACAACAATCCAAATTTTCCAATAAATAAAATTCACATTCTAATATATGATTAGTACGATAAGGAAATTCTTGGGTATATGCATAATTCAATTTATTTTTCACTGAAAAAAAAGTAAAATAAAACCTAAAACTGTAAAATAAAATAATTATCACAAAAACATACAAACTGTCTGACAAGTAGTTATTAAACGGCTATTTGATATTACACCAAATTCTTCAACTTTTGATGCTAAGAAAACACAAGTTGGAGATAATAACAAAGGATCAATACATTTGAGAGAATTTCTGGCATAAAACCTTTTAAAATAAACAGTTGCCGTAGCTATTACTTGCTGTTTAAGTTTTAGTTGTTCACCTAAAATTTGAATAACTAAACAAAAAATTAAACAAGTTTGTTAAGTTTAAATTAAGCATATCATATCAATAATATTTTTAGTTTAGGTAGTTTATAAAGAAAAATAATTTTACAAGAAGCTTACTGTATGATTAAACTAAAATTGTTAAGTTTCATAATCTGTAATGTAAGTTTTAACTTACAATTAGAAAAGAAAATTCCTATTTTTTGATATTCCTCTTCACTTAAAATTTGTAAATCTAATTGACGCTCTCTGACTAGATCTTGTTTGTCCAATATCCATTGTTGACTATAAAACAGAATTTTATTAAATCAAAATTAATAATTGAATTTTTTAAATATTTAATTAAAAGATTTAATTCGCCGAATAGAAAATTTTAATGGAATCGTTCATCTTACAAGGTTGGAAAAGATTGGTAAATTTTTGTGATACAAATATATCAGTCATTAACGTTATCTGTTTTAATACAATTTGCAAATAATTCCAAAAAACAAACTGTAGCGTACGTAGTATCAGTGCTCAACTAGAACATCTCAAACCCAGCCAATACAGAATTATTACTTACTAATGCGAACTTTGCCAAAAATTCCCAGCCATTTTCAATAAAATTTAGTGTCCCTTTGTCGCTATCGCTTTTCACTATAGTTTTTTACCAAACACGTAACGAGCGACACGATGATAACACCATTGGCCAATGAAACATTGTCTTGTTGTTTTTTCTTTTGATAACAACGGTTTAACGATTACCCAAATTCGGTAACAACTAAGGGGACGCTATTGCCTATTATGCAGCTGTCGTTCGTAAATGACATATGAGTGATGACGGTTGCCAATGGGTAGCGATCGGATTTAGTGATATTTATTAATCAATATTTATTACAAATAACTGTCATTGATCAGGTATGAATTATTATTGTACTATTTGATAATTGGTAAACAACGTTAGTTATCAGTTACATCATTTTGTGTGCGTTGTAAACAAAACAATGCAAGCATATAGATGCGTATTGTTCAATACAGCTGATTAATGATTATCCAATATAAGTGCATGGGCAGATATTTTAAAAGTTCGAAAGCAAAAATAATTCGTTCAGCAGAAAATCTATGTGGTGGGACGTGGAAAAACGCAACGTACGGCTGTCGAGAAACGTTTACGTTAAAATATAATACTGGTTAATAACATAATAATTATCATATTAAACATTAAACACATAACATAACCACACATTTAAATTTTACTGTTTAGGCAAATAAAAAAACAATGTTTGGTAATCGGTGATACTTTATTTGAGATTATATAATACAACCATTGTTTTAATATGAATAAATCATTTTTTGTGTTATTCAAAATTGTTACCATTTGGCATAAAAATTAAAAAAGGTATGTAATAGTATTATATTATAGGTATTTTATTTATATAGAAATCATTAATTACCACCTATAGGTACCTACCTATTTATTAAAAGTATCTATTACCAATCAGTTTGGTACCTACTTGTCAGAAACCAGTTGTTATAAAATACTATATTTTTACAAAAAAGTAATTAATACGAAGTTTATTAAAAAAAACCAGGAAGCTTATACAGTAGGTGTCGAGTGTACCTCGTAATTTAATAATTATGTCATTGTAATGGATGATGAGTTAAATTTGAATTAAATGATAGACCACGAAAAACAATTTTGAATGGAAACCATTACGCATCAGCCTATATAAGTATATTTCATGTTATATTTTTTGATATAACAGCTGAATTAGTTTTTATTTATGCATATTTTATGATATACATTATACATATTTGTATTTATAAAATCTATTATAGTACCTAATATATATTTAAAAAATAGTAATATGGTACCTAAGTCAAATTCAAATTACTTCTTGCCGAAACTATCATATTTATTATATAATATTTTATTACTGATTATTATAGGTATATTTAATTATATATTACTATTATTAAGCAACTTTTTAATCAATAACGATTTAGAACGGTTTGCGTTGATTCGTAGTATATTAATAGGTAGGTCATAGCTTTTAAAAATGAATCTAAATATTAAAAAAAAATTATTATCCAATCTGTATAGAAAATAATAAAAGCAGAAAATATGCTTATTTTATTTTTATTGAAATTCTTAGGCTTTTACATCAAAAATTGACGAAAAACTTTCAATTATATTTTTAAGTTTTAGCAAATAATAAAAATTGCTAAAATAATAAAAAGATTTATGCATTTTTAACAAATTGAAATTTTTAAATTGTTGTAAGAACAAATTATTTGTAATTTGATACCCATTACTTACAAAATATTAAAAAAAAATCAAATGCCTTTTAAGCTATAAATAGCTTAAATTTAATCTAAATATTTTGAGTATAAAAAATGATAATTTAACAGGACGCCACACTTGCATAATATGTTATCTCCATCTTACATACATACAATATGGCAAATTTTCGTTCAACAGAATCCATTTTATGTTGTTAAATTTAACATTGCAGTAAACTCATCTATTATCAAACTTAAAAGTAAGAATTTTATCTAGGCCATTATATAGGTTTTTATAGATATTTTAATTTTAAACTAAGTTATAGCTATATAAAATGTTAAAACTTTAAAATGCTCTTAACTCACTTTAACATTATGATATTAATAAAAATCTATGTGACGGCCTAGATAAAATTCTTACCATTATGTTTGATCATAGATAAATTAGTTGTAATATTAAAGCTAACAACATAAAATGGATTTTGCTGAACGAAAATTTGCTATGTTGTATGTATGTAAGACGGAGACAACATATGCGGGTGCGGCGTCTTCTTAAGTGATGTGGAATGTTTCAAGTTTTTGTGATTAAAAATCATTTGATATATTGATGAGATATCGTTATGTTTTATATGAATCTAAATATGAATATTGAATATCTACAGGTACTTGTTAAAAATTTAATTTTGAACACTCATAACAAATAATTGCTCAATCATGCTTAAATTTTTTGATAACTTATATATAAAAAATATTTATAGAACTTTTTAAAATTTTTAAAGCATAGGTCTAAGTATTGAAATTTTTATAAATTTTCTACAGCAAAATAATTTACAAATTTTTGTATAAAATTAAACTTTAAATACTTAAACAGTCTAACATATATATTTATAAATATTAAAAGAAAAATCAAAATATTTTAAGTGTTATTATTACATTATGTACTTAAATAAAAATAATAAAATATACAAACATTTTTAAATCCTTATTAAAAATGTTTTTGAATTTCAAAAAAAAAAAATATATAATAAGTATCTATATTTATATATTTTTGAATCACAACGAAAAAAACAAATCCAACTTTGTCGAAAAGTAATTTCACACAAAATTCTCGTTTTTTTATCATTTTGAAAAATACTAGAATTTTTTAGTTTGTAAATTGAATTAATTTTTACCGAAAACAATACATTTTTGGATTTATTATATTATTTTTATTTGAACCTAATTATTAAAAATTATAATAGTATTAATATATATTTATATCATATATTTTTGGCTGTATATAAACTGCGGCAAAATTTACCTTTTTCAAAAATTTGATATGTAAACTGAGGAAAAAAAAAATTAAGATTATATAATCTGCTACAAAACCGATAAGATACATCATACAAACTGCGGCAATTTAATTAGATACCTATTGTATTATTATTTATTTATTTATTTTTTTTTTTGATTATACGATTTTTTTAATATAATAATAATATTTTTTAATTTTAAAATTGGTTTTTTGATTATACAATCATTACGATCTAATTTTTAATAATAATATATTTTTCAATTTTAAAAATTGGTTTTTCTTTATTTTTACAACTAATACTCTAAGAGATACTAATAGCTGTCATAACACGTAATACGTATTATACCTAATTAAACAATAAACGTGTATAAGTATATAAAATAAATTGCCGCAGTTTGTATGATGTATCTTATTAGTTTTGTCGCAGATTGTATAATTTTAATTATTTTTTTGCCGCAGTTTACATATCGACTTTTAGAAAAAGGTAAATTTTGCCGCAGTTTACCATCTCCCATATTTTTGTTATCATACTAACTTTTAAGTCGATATCCATTAATTGCTGTAGCCTGTAGAACAGTAATGAATAGATTTGTGGTATACATAGGTTATAGTACAAAATTAATCTTATGTTTTAAAAATATTATTATGACATTAAATATTGCATATTTACATAAATATTATGTAATATACGTACAACTGTTGATCATTAGTATAATTAAATTCATACGAAAAATACTTTTTTAATTATTAGTCACAATGAAATAATTTTCAAATTTTTGTCATTTTGAAGAATTTTGTCAAAATTTTCCCTTAAAATGCTTATAAATTATAATAATTGTTCTTATGTATCTTATATATTTTTTAATAGCTTTCAAATAGCTTATGAGAAACTTTCTATTAAATTTTTAAATGCTGTAACAAAGCAAATATTTTTTTATTGATATGTATTGAAAAAAAAATCAATAAGATTATGAAATAATATTATTGTTGGATAATACTTCATTGCCGATCTCAAATAATAGTAGATAGGTAATTTTCAATTCACTTACTCGTATTATTATATTAAATTGTTCTACATTATACCTTCGATAATCTTATTTTATTATTACTAACCTATTTTATAAATTTTTTTCATACACTAAAATATTATGATTTTGTTGTTTGTTATGAAATTTTTAATCTAATACGGAAATAAGCTATTATTGTTTGTTCGACTGTGGTCCTTTTTGTGGATAAATAATGGGGACTCGGTGATTATTACTTAGTGAAGTATTATTAAAAATATTCGTGGTTACTTACACGTATTTTTCACAAAGGCAACTAACAATAGTAAATATATTAACATAAAGTTAAAAAAAAATTCTCACAACACTTGATATTATTATTTTACTGCAGCCCTTTTTATGGGAGTTTGCAATTTGCACCAAAATAAAGATATGTAATTTTCACCACCAACCGTAGATAATTGAAAGCAGTGCTTGTAATTTGTATAAAAATGATTAATAAATATCTATTGGTAACGGGCATTATCTAATTGTAATTGATAGAGATCGACATTTCTTGAACTTTTTCAATACAAACTATATCTTGTAAAAGAAATTGATAGCTATTAATAAATTAGGTTTGACGGATCCAAATGACATTAATAATTTTTCGGAATTTTTAGTTATCCTCCGCTTTACGGGTAATCATATTGAAATTTGATATTCGATTCTTCGTCGTAATCGTATTATATAGCATTATAAGACACTTATAACACAGACACACAGTATTATTATATTTACACATAATACCTATACATATATATATAAATTTATTATTTTGCCCAAATAACTAACCTAACATTTGGTCTTTCCATTTTATCGTAATAGTTAATATCTTGATTACTTCTTCTACATTTTTATATTAGCATTTTCTATTGGATAATGGTATAATTATTATAGTTATTAAAATATTTTGACTCTTTATACTCTATATTTTAACCTGTTATTTTTTTCTATAAATCTCGATAAAAAAATTATACTCGATCAAAAAGCTCTGAAGTTTAGTATAAGGTTTCTTGTAATTTATTAATGATTAATATAGCTTGCATACATATTCTTGCAGTAGTAAAACAAATATTGAGTGTAAATTTACCATAATTTATACGAGTGTTTGAGCTTTGAAAATGTTGGTAAAATTTTTTAAGTTTTGTCTTAAAAATTTGCAAAATATTTTGAAGTCAAAAATGTATACATTTTTAATATTAATACC